CTCATTTTCAAGGCACAGAATCTGAGATTTAGTTGTATATTTTGAAACTAAGTTTTATGACTATAATTTTTCCTATGATACCACATTGCTTCTCAGAACCCTCTTTGAAGTTATAGTCTCCTGTGTTCTATTTCTTAAAATAATATATGCAGCAAATTTTTACTCATCATTTACCATGTACTAAGCATTGTGCCAAGTTTTGCATACTTTATCTCACTTATATTCACAACACTCTTTAAGAGGGAATATTATCAGGTAAGTAACTTGCCCAATTTTACTCAGTTAATAAATGGCAGAACCAGGATTAAAATCGGATCTGTTGGACTCCTCCTGAGTTTATGCTTTTAACTGCTTTATAATACCACTTTGCAAAGGCTGTGAAAATAAGTGTGATGTGTTTCCATTAGCTGTTCCAGAATGAAGTTGAATGGTACTGAAAATGTGATAAAAATTTGTTTTCTTTCATTAGTACAAGGCCTGATACCAATCCTAAGCCAAAAAGCAAAACCTTTGCCATTAACAAGTATAATAAGCAAACAAGTACACTTTGTGTTATTACCTTTGGGAACTTGTGTCTTTTTCATGGCTGCCATTGGTAGAGGACAGTTCATCCAGCTGCTCTGGAAGGGGATGATGATTAAGAGCATATTTTGTTATTCCTTTCCTGTGAAAGATAAAAAGAAAGTTACATTTACTGTAAACAAAACATAGATACTTTTCAGAAACTTGACCTAGAAGCTAGTCTCCTATTTCTTGCTGCTCTGGGACTGCACTGTCTAGTACACTAACCACTAGCAATTAAAATGTGGTTAGTCAGAAATGAGATGCACGGATGTTACACTTTAAGTGTAACACACAGGATTTTGAACTCTTAGCACAATAATATACAGTATCTCATTAATATTTTATCTTGGTTATATTGTAAAGTGAAAATGTTTTAGATATGAGTTAAAATATATTAAAATTTCACTGCAAATTGAAAATACAAAGTATAACCACACACCTATTAGAACAGCTAAAATAAAATATGGTGATAACAAAATGCAGGCGAGGACATGGAGAAACTAGATGTCTCATGTATTGCTGGTGGGAATGTGAAATAGTATAGCCAC